ATACGAAGCATACCTCAGTCATTGGTTGAGTCAGTACAAAATCATCAAACCTACTTAAGTATGTGTCCTATATACAGCTGCCTTATCTTTTTATCCTACTTGAGTCAATTCTTGATGAGGATAGACAGGGCAACACTGGGATAACTGTGTGGGGTTAAGGCACACAACTCAAGTATGGTCCCGCTATACATGTGAAGTTGTGATTGCATCTAATCTTTACGTGACATAACCCACTTATATATACGAATGTAAGAGGTAATCTATGATGAGAAATAAAAAGGGTTAATACAGATAGCGAAATATCGTAGTAAACTCTTCTGTCATTACTTAAAAGACAATTTTCTGAATACATATCATGATCAGAGTTTAAGTAATTTAATAATTCTGACTATTATCACTACTAAGCAATCACACCCGACCTATTTACTAAACATGATTTCTTCTTAAATTTCTGGTTACATTACTGGCCAGACTGATGTTTAGTGCGAAGGAATTGAACTTGCGTGGTTATAACAATAACAACATCATGATCAACCTGATCAATACGATGAGATGACATGTTCAAAAATTGGGATGTTGGATTTGGACCACATGCATGAGCATGGATTAATTAATGGTAACAACACAAGAAAGTGCTCAATGAATGTACGTTTTCTGCTGTACGTAGCATATAATAAAGATTGCACGCCAATAGTGCGGCGACACAGCTAGCAAAGAACACATGCATTTGTACCTACAGGGTTCCCAGTGTAGTTGTTGTAGCTCTCTGGCTAACCTTTAATGCATATATATATATATATATATATATATATATATATATATATATATATATATATATATATATATATATTATATGTATGTGTGGAGCTTGCTTTGTTGAGCTAATGAAGCCATTCATGGGAATAGAGAGAGAGAGATAGCGTGTGTGTGGAAACTGGCAAGTATGAAGTGTAGACAGTAAAAATGGAAAATAAAGGCAGCAGGAAATGGAGGTTAAGTACCTGAACTTGTAGTCTTTACTCTTTTACCATGTTTCTGGCCATGTGTCGCCTACTTGATCAGAAAAGGGAAGCTAGGGATGGCTAATTGGGCAATATATGTGAAGAAAAAAAATTCAGCTTTTGATCATGGAACTAGTTATCTGCATGTGCAGGTTAGACCTACCTAGTCTGAGAAAATTAAATCTCCCCACGATTCGTTTTTTGTGTGTGTGCTTAACAACGGAAATCAAAACCTTTCTTAATTTCCGCCATTTCACAAAAGCAACAATATATATATATATATATATATATATATATATATATATATATATATATATATATACTACACAAGGTAAAATATGTTTTTTTTTTAACTCAAAATATTTTGAACGTTTGGCCACAGTCCTTATAGATTTTAATATATTGTTCGTTTATACGTATTAATTAATAAAAAAAATATGTGTTTTCAGTTTATAATTAGGAACTAAATTCACGTAACTGTCAGTAAATATAAGAACTAAGAGTATATTACAAAATATATATAAATTTAAACTATATAAAGAGAAAATATTTAATTACTATGAGCGTTACACACTCAATCCTTTAGTTTTCACTATTTAGAGATGTCATATTATTTTAGTTAAATTAAATGAAATCTAAAAAAACTTAATAAAAATGGAGTAGGATAGAGAGGTGGGTGAAAACAATTGAAGGGTTTTAGATTTTAGAGTTATAAAAAAAAAGTGGGGGCATGAGCTTTTAGATGGGGAAGGATGGAGCAAGATGATAATAAAATTAGAGGTTTAGGCTTCTAGATGGAAATATTAAGGTTTTAAAGAGGGTTTAGGGTGATAGAAAAGTGTAATGATTATAGTTTGAAATGAAAGGGTGAAAACAAAAAAGGAATAATGGTTGAAAAATTAAAATTAAGGCACAGAAGAGAGTAATACAAAGAAAGAATAAGTGGTTAATTTAATAGATATTTCTCACATATAAAAACTTGAAGATGAAATAAAAATTATATAATCAAGAAATATAAATATTTATTTTAGCATTTAACCTGTGTAATATAAGATAAATATTTGTTTCAAATAACTTATATTTTGAATAAAAATTATATTTTTAATTTATGATTAATAATTTAAGCTGTGATAACATAATAGTTTTACTTATTGGTAAATAATATCTTTCAAAACAAATATCAAAATTCAATTTTAAAATAAAGATAAAAGGACAAATTGAATAATATAATCTGTTAAAAATAAATAAATAAATAAAATATTTACTCGAAATAATTAAGAAATAAACTTTTTGGATGAATTGTCAGCGGTGACTGAAATATTAAAAAAAATTTAAGCTAATAATATTTCAAGTTAATAAGTTAGGCAGATAGAATTTAATTAATTTTAAACTAAAAAATTATTAATCAATTTTTAGTTCTCGGAGTTGCCAAGAAGAATTCAGGATGTGAGAGTTTGAACCCTTGTAGGGACAAAATATGTTTTATTATATATATAATTTTATAAAATACATTTTTATTTAAATCAAATCATTATAGACTATAAAGTTTTACATCAGAATTCAAAATCTCTAGTTAAGTCAAGACATTTAAACTAATATAAAGGTAACAGGATAATGTGCCTCACTATGGGCTAATACAGTAAATTAAAATTTGAACTAATTAAGTTGGGTTTATTTTTTCAATTAAGTTCATATATTTTTTTAGTAAATTATACTGAGGCAATTCATTTTTAGTCTTAGCAAAAATGAGAAAACATAATTAAGAGATTAGACTCTTTAATTTATATATTTATTGTTTTCTCATTGAGGAGTAAAATGGGCTAATAGAAGGTAAAAATTAATTATTTTATCTAATTTTGGTTTATCTTTTTATATTGACATTTAATAAAAACTTTTATATGAAACTGTTACAAATATTCACATTTCACCATGTTAATATTTTTTATCAAATATATTACATACCAAGTTGAGAAATTAATTAAAATTAGATAATGAAATATTAACAAATTGTAAAAATAATATGAAAGAACAATATAAAAATGAAGATAAAAGAACCAAAAATGTAGTACCTCTAACATATAACATTATAGGATAATCTTTAAATGATTATATTTTTGGTCAATTTAATTAGAGGGTGTGCTTTATGCTACTTAGATCACCATTATTGAACAATTTGTCTGACATATGCATGTATAATTATGAATTTCAAAACTTTAATTTGCAAAAGATAAACCATATATTATATATATATATATATATATATATATATATATATATATATATATATATATTAGTTTGTAATACAAATATTTATTACATAAATGATGAATATGAAATTTTAATTCTAATAATATTAAAAATTACTATAAAAAAAAAACACTTATAAAACTTCAACTATTATCTGTTCTACCTATTTATAGGTTAAAGAAAATTAAGATTTGTCCAATATTTCCTAATCCCTTCGAACAGAGAGAAATTGGAAGATTAGCTTTAGTAAAGGACACTGAACTGTAAATGTTAAATAAATAACTACTTTTCTTAAAAAAATATTCAGACAAAATATATAATTTAATTCTTCTCTAACTTATATATGTATGTGAAAAAACAATTATTATTTAAAAGAAATGAGAAAGTACACTAATTAACCTTATTTTCTTTTTTATAATATTTCAGTTAAGTAAACTTTATTACATTCATACTCACCTTCTGAAAATATAGCCATAAATTTTATAATGATTAACTAGATAGAATTAGGAAGGTTAAATCTAATATGTAGTTGTTTCTAATGAAACATTTATTGCAAGAATTAGTACCAAACACACATATATATATTTCTATAGCATATAGGATAGAAGTTAAATAAAATGTAAAAAAAAAATGAAGTTAAAAAAAATGACTGTATTTAGATCTTGCAGACTATGTTATCCACATTGAACAAATTTGCAATACCTATCACATCTTTCTAAACATGGAGTGAAATTGATATTTCTTACAAAATTATGCAAACTAACACGAAGAACGCTATTCTGACTTATTAAACAAAATCAAAGAGTATAAGAAAAACTAAAAAAATAAAGTGTTGTATAACATATTATGTTATTAAAAATGTTAGGTTTTGTGAATTTGTTCACACAAATTCCATAAGTGATACAATAAGAACACTCTCATAAATGCTAGCCCTTAAAAGTCCAATACAAACAACATCATAGAAGTGTCTTTTAAATATTATATAAAAAAATATATCTTAAATTTTTTCAATAGGCTGTATAAATTTATTCATGAACTAAAATTTAACTACTTCTCTGACATCTATAATTTTATATATTTGTATATAAAATATTATATATTTTTATTAACTTATAAAAATACAAATATATATAAATAAAAAAAATCATAAAATAGTAAAAAAAATTAAAAATACAAAATAAATGTAAACCTCGAAGATGTGTGAGCAGGTAGACATGTATGTACTGAGACACTTCTGATACGGAAAATGACACTCCACTACAACCTTTCTTCAGTTTCTCCTTCAAACCCTAGCTAATCTTTCTTCCATTAATAAATTATTGGTAATCTTTTTAAAGAAAATAATAATACCAACTTACATTTCCCTTTCTTTGAAGTTACATTTGTGTTGCCTTCTCCTTCATCACTTCCCATCCCCTCCAACCATATTGCTCCTCCAGGTGCCCCTTTCGCAAAACAATCACATACTAACAAAATTAATCAACCAAGAACTCAGATCCTTTAAGCAAGATGAAACAAAAAATAAAGAAAAAAATCCAACCATCAGAGCTTCAGCTATAATATACGAGAGTTGTACATGGTGTTTTCAAAACTAAATTACAGTAGTTCTCTCTATTATCTCTCAGCTCAACTGCAAAAGAGAGCAAAACACAAGCACAGAACTTCTCTTTTCTTCCGAGTTTGGACTTTTATCTTTACTCACAGCACCTCATGTGGCTCATAAAACAATAAACAAATAAACAAATTGTTTTCTCATGACGTTGATGTTGATCTATTTCCCAAACGAAGCTCTAGATCAAGCTCCTCATGGTGGCCATGATGGACCGAGGAGGTTGCCGGTTCTTGCTCCACTTTCTCAGAATAAGGAGAGAAAACATTCCTCCTCCCTGCCGCAGGCTGCGCCACTGAGAAATCAAAGGAGGCATTTGAGCAAGTTGGGACTCTCATTGGAGGGTGTGAAAGGGAAGAAGAGACAGAGAAAAGAGAGGAGGGAGATTCAGCACATGCAGTATTGAAACTAGTGGTGTGGCCAAGAGGAGAGAATGGAGCAGGGTTAGGGCTAGGGAAGGGGTAGAAGAGGCACACCCCACCATTTGCAAAAGACTCCGGAGGGTGAGAGAGATTGAGGAAAGAGGGTGAGTGGGAGAGAGAGGAAATGGGTTGGTGGTGGCTGTTGTTGATCGGTGATGGTTGGTGAAGGCGAGCACGGTCGCGGCGGTGAACGTTCATGTGGCCACCAAGGGCTTGTGCTGAACGGAACTCCCTTCTACAGAAGGTGCAGGAGTAGGACCTTGGAGGCCATGTGGTGCCCATGATGTTGTTGGTGTCCTCTGCGAAGGCCCTGACCTCCCAGGAGTCATCTTCTTGGTCCCTTGGATTCCACATTCAAGATGGTGATGAGATTGAGGAAGGAGGAGAAGTGATGGAGTTAGGGTTTGGATGGTGTTGGGATTTTGACAAATTTTGAATCGGTTCACCAAGACCAAGCCAATCCCTGCAGCCATGGTACTGAAACTGACATTTAAGATAGATAGATATGTGATGGGAGAGTTGGTCTATGTGGGAATGAACAAATTGGAGATAGCTAGCTACCAAAAATATATAAATTCTTTAAAGATATGTTGCAAGGGATATGATTAGCTAGAGAGGAGCCAAAATGAAGCCCAATCGAATGTATCACCCATCTTTTAAGCATATTTGGATCCTATGTATTAAGTTGCCTTATTATAGTTATGTTAATTAGCAATACCTTTCAAACGTTGGTTCACATATGTTGTTAATTTAATTTAATAACCGTGCCTGCTATTAGACAATTTCTTTCCTTTGGCTTCTACGCCTTCAAAATATCTGAGGTGCTCCCTCATCCACTTGTTTAATCTCCCCGAACCCAAACAAAAAGCAATATCAAGTATGATTTGGTATATAACAAAATCTTTAGACTTTTTGTTAAAAATTACCATGCAATCTGTTTTCATGCAGATACAAATGTTATCTCATAAGAGTAATATTTCCATGTTATATAGTTCATTAGACTACAAAGTTTAACTATGTAAAAATTACATATAATCCACTTTTAATATAAATACTTTTACAACATATTAACCAATAAAGTGGTATATTATATTTAATACATCCGTATAAAGTCACAATGTCTATACAGTTATACTATATATCAGTTTAATTTTTTCAGTAAATAAATATTACTAATGACTAAAAATGCACTTTTTTGAAGTATAAATGAAATACAAATATAGATTTTTTTTCTCATATTTTATGATAATGCATTTTTAAAGCTCTTAACTTCTGTTAAATTCGTTGCTAACTCAGTCGTAATTCCTGGCAACCCTTAAAATACAAGTTTCACATGATCACCAGTATTAGTTAAAAATTATTTAATGTTTTATATCACACATTTTGATAATTAAAAAAAAAGAGAATTATATATTTGAATTATAAATAGTTATTTTTTTTAATTATTATTATTAACTAACAATGTTTGCCAATTTTATAGTATCACCTAATACTCTAAATAAACCTACATATTAACAAAATACTTACACTAGGTAGGTTAAATTGAGAGTATTTTTTAATGAAATGACTCATAAAATCCTGTGTGTTTATCTACAAGAAAAGTCCCTTATCTAAAGCTCACTATGTATAAGGTAGAGTAAATTTATGTATCTCAATACATAATTTTTTAAAGTTTTTTTAGTAATGTTTTAAAAATACTGATTGGCATTTTTGATTATTTAATTAGGGTCCCGTTCCCCTCTTCCAAGCCTGTCATCTAAATTGAATGCAGATACGTGGGACAACTAATTAAAGACACCCAATAAAGAAATATTTCAGACATAACTTTCTTCGCTGCGAACACACCAAGAAAATGCCCATCTTACATTCTTCTGTCATTGTTTATGTCGTCCCCCCCCTGTACAAACCTAGCTCTAGCTTCAACCTATGACCCTCTTAATTACCATTCACTAATCCTTCCACTATAGTCAACATGTTATTATAAAGGCTAGGTTTAAATATTATTAAATAATATTCAACTTGTCAAAACAACTTCCCAAAGGAACTATCTATTTCTCCCGAATAGATAGCTAGATTTTTAATCATGTCATCAATCTTATTTTCTGTCACGTGTATAAAAATACTTCCTTCAAAGAGATAATTTACTACAGTACTAATCTTTATATTTAAAAATATATAGTTTTCAACTATTCGATTGCAAGATATCTTCAGTAAAAAAATCAGTTGAAGATAGATTTTTAAACATATATTTTGTTTTTTTTTTTTTTTTCTAGTTTTAGGAATTCCTTTAAACCATTTTGTGTTGAGCCTAAGTTGTGGTAATAATATAAATTGTCACTTCTTCAACTTGACTTTGATATTATACTTTCTTAATAATAATGCATATCATATACCGATATACCAATGAATGACTCGGTTGGCTAATGTTATAAATTTGATTCAGTTTAAGCTTTTGATTAAAAAAATCTTATTAAACTTTTGTTAAGCTTTTTTTAATGGAGATTATGCAACCCTATAATTAAGACTTCAATAAATCTACTATTTTCAATTTTAAAAAAATTGTATTTATATATTATTTTTATCATTAAGAAGAAATTGAAAATAATTTTATTTAAGATATGTCTTTTTTTCAAAACTTATTAAAAATAATTGTGTTTAAAATATGTTTTTTGTTCTGTGTCATGTTTTAAAATAAAAGTTATTTCTATAACTTTGCTATTATAAGAAGTTGATATATATATATATATATATATATATATATATATATATATATATATATATATATCGTTGTCTTGTAAAAAAACTGTATATGAATACGTATACATCTTTCAAAATATTATACTTCACAACATACAATATAATAATTTATTTATTACATTCAAAATATTAATTTACTGTTTCTAATAAAAAGAAATAGATCATAGAAGTTACAAATTTCCATAATTTTAATGAACAAGTAATATACAGAAGTTATAAATTTTATACCCAGTTTAATCCTACATAGTTTCCAACAGAAAAAGTAAAAAAAAAAAAAAAGTAGGTGTTTATTTGTGAAGAGGATAATCTGACAGGAGTTGAGGGCTTGGGTACAACAAATATAATCTATCGACATCGTTTTAATTTTGCGTAACAGGGGACCACTAAAGTCTAGCAAAGAGGGATGGAAACAACTCACTAAATACCAATACGTTTTTTTATTAAATATCAATTCCTTTATGTAAAGATAACAAATATTTTATCATTATACTCACTAAGTTATTAGCTTAATTAAATTGTTTTTTAATTAAATTTTTAATTAATAATTCAAAATTTGATTCTAATTTGATAAAATCTAACTATTAATTAAAAAAACAATCTTTTAATATAATAGGGTCTAGTTTTTAATTAATAACAAAAAAATTATGTTATATTAGATATTAATTTAAATTTTCATTCAAAAATTAATATAACTAAAATAAATTTTAATTTAGTTAACATGTAAATATTATTAACTAGTTAAATAGATTAATAAATTAATTTATCTGAGTTGAATTAATTTTTTTTATCAAACATATCGATTTATTATGTTCAGTCATAATTTTATTTAAATTTAACTTAGATTAACTTTTTCTCGAATAATATTGATAATTTTTTTTACCGTGAACATATGTCCACCAAAAAATACTAATGGATAATAAATTAGTTTCTTTATATATATTTAAAAAATATTGTATTTGATTATTTAAATATTTTAAAACTATTAATTATTATTTATTAAATAAATTAAAAATTATTACATTTATATATTAATATACTCAATTATAATTAATAATTGAAATTAAATTTATAAATATTTATAATTTTAATTATTATATACTTATGTATTTAAACCATTCAGCCCAATAACTTTATGAAATTTTAAATATAATATTGTTTTTAATTCTTTAAGTTTTGATCTCTTTGAATTAGATAGAAGAAACTAATTTAATCACACTTTGATTTGACTAACAGCCATTTTTGCATGCCTTTTCAAATTGAAATCTGTTCGATGTATTTTTTAGGCTTGAAAATTGTCTATTTTCCCATGAACATTACACATCAGATTCATATTTAAAGTTTTACACGAAAATAAGTTTTGTCATTTTTTTAATTACTTTCCACATAGATTAACTTTTCCCTACCTTCAATTTTTTTATTTTGATTAATTTAAAATTAATTAAGCACTTATTGCAAATTAAGTGGGTAATTTATTAGGCATAACAAAAAAAAAACAATGGATCTACTCTACCAATTTTTTATTTATATATAAAAAGTTTATAAATGGGGCCGAAAGATGAATTTATCAGTTGGGCCCAGACACCTGAATCCTCTGATTTATAACTACTCACTCTGGACTTCGGCTAGGAAGATGCGACCACGACGATATTTGTATTTGTGGATCATTAGATTTGGGCCAAGTACAAACACGCAAAAATTGGGTATTTTTGAATTACTAATGAGGTTGGGTTTGGTAGTGCCAGTCAATAAAAAATTCACCTGCTATTTATCTTGTTATATGTTGGGTATTTATTTTAAAAAAAAAATCTGTATATATTTTTTTATATATTTACAAAAATCTATCTATACTCACATATTTTTATTTTAAATAAATAAATTTATTTATTTATTAAAATAAATATTTTAATTATTTTTTCATCACAACATATAATTTAATTTTAAATTATAAAATATTAATATAAATAAAATTAATAATTTTATTTAAAAATAAATAAATAAATAATAATGGATAATGGATATATGTAGATTCAATACCAAAAAACTGAGATCTGTCCTGTTAACAAATAAGTTATTAAAATAATGTAAATTATTTATTTATTTAACAAATAAGTTTTTTTTTGTCATTCTACATTCTTTTATAATGTGACAGATTCTTGACGTATCTACAAATTTCAATAAAATCAAACCGCTAACTAAAAAAGTGAAAGATTTGCTAATAATAATGACCTGTTGCTTATATTCCTCTGTTTGGATCCACCCTTAAAAACAAAACCTATCCAACACATGTTCAAATAACTAATCAATTTTCAAAAGAAAAAAGTATGAAGCCCACAAAACAACTGAAGGTAATTTTATATAACATATATATGAGTTCTCAAGCTTTTATGTACATAGCCAGCTTTACCAATTTTAATTTCTTTTCACTTTTTTTTTAAGTAACTGTTTCCCTCTTAAAGTAAGAGGGTTGTATCTATCTTTTTAAACATATATTAATTAAATGAAGATTAAGAATGATTAATATTAACTAAAAACTCAAAATAAAATGTTAAAATTAAACTATTTATCTATAAATTCATTAGACTTAAATATCATATCAC